CTAGGGAGGGCCTGCATCTTCCCCCATGTCCGGTTGGATTGCAGAGGTTCATACCAGTTCAGCCCTGCACTGTTATTGGAATGAATGCTGATGTACAGGTCTGCTAAGCATCTTCAAGGATCATACCAGTGTGCCTTTGTGTCGTAAATGAGTTAAAACATTCAGAGCCACTACTGTGCTGTGAGATAGATAAATCAGTAGTAAAAAACAAATTTGGCTGTAATTGGACCAAATTGAAATTTTAAATTATTGTAATACTCACTTATTTCAGGATATACATATATATCATTAAGATGTCAGATATATTTAATAGTGCATTCTGTAAAATGTAAAAGCTGCATCATCTATTGATTTGTGTGCTATTCAGTTGTTGGATCCGTATTTGATCTCAGCTTAATTCCTGTTCTGTTAAAAACAACCTACAGGTTACAGCTATCCATGTGCTGCACTACCATTTAGAATAGGACCCTCCTCCATATCAATGGATGGAGGAGGCTATCCACCCATAATTCACTGCTCTGTATGATGCTGAATGGACAGAGGAGGGAGAAACCTATAGATCATTATAGAAGCTGTTAGGGTTATATGTTTTCAGGGGAGACCCAGACCGCTGGACTTTCCAGTCGCACCAAAAATGAACTGGATCCGGTTAACAATCAAAAAGTATTTAATAAACTAGAGAAGCTAGAACAGTTGCAAACTGAATTACTCTATCGATATCAATATGTCCCCAGGGCAGAGTTCTCACAAGGCCCACTAAATAGCCCAGCCCAGCTGTTAAACTACCCAGAGTGGTAAAGGCGCGAACTCTGGCAAAAACCCTCTGGAACTAAGCCTATATTTAAAAGTCTCTGTCCGAAAGTTTAAATGTCCAGTATCAGCCTCTGTCATTGGCCGAAATTCAATAGCCCCTCCTGGCTTCGGGCAGTTATCATCTCAGTGTTTGGTTGAAGTCGTCCGGACTCCTCCTCAGGTCCTGGTGGTCAGTTGTCCACCCCTCTGTCCTCTGCTGCACCTCTGTAAAGTCTCACTCAAAATGTTCCCTTTCTGACCCTCAAAACTATTCATACAGTGTTTTAATACCTTTAGTGACTATACTTCTATGGTTTAATACATTCAATGAGTAAAATACTGTAACATATAATATCCTCTATAAGTAAGAATATTGTAAACATATAATACATTCCATAAGTAAACATATTGTGACTTTTTAACATATTTTGACATTCTTATTATTGTGACACTTCTACTCACCACTAGGGGTGTTAATAAATCCTACTAATAATGCTTTTAATACTGAAATCCTTCACAAAGCCCAAAAAGTAAACTGGACGGTATAAAAGCTGAGAGTACCCATAGTTGTAATAGGACGGTTGAAACACAGCTAAATGCTGTTGAAATAGCAATAATACTCATATGTAATGCATGCAGCAGTGTCGATATAATCACCTGTCATCGATAATCAGCTCTCCGACAGAGGTCCCACTCAGCCATTTTATCTCTTATCTTCACATCACAAGTTAATTAATTCGTGGTCAAAAAAAAAAGGTGCTTCCGTATGATTATCAAATAATATACTTATTGAAAAATAAGAAATTGTTTCCTTGAGAAAATGACTTTATATTGAGATAACAAGATATGTAACAGATCACTTCAAGATGATTGCCCTGAAGGCAAACTTCTCCTATGGTAACACAGCAATGGACTGTTTCCAGGGGACACTAAACAATGATGCACATGGACGAAATTAAGAGTTAGCCTTTTTCTTGTTATAAGCCTGCCAATTAAAATCTGACCAAACACAAACGATTCGTTGTGAAACAGGCTAATGTTATGTTAGCTGGCTATAACGCAAGTTTTTACTACTGGTAGGTTTTTACTGACATGACTCATAAAGTGATTACTTTGCTTAATTACAAATAGTATTCATGCCGTCAAACTGCAACTTATTTAGACTTTAAAGCTGGGGTAGGCGACTTTGAAAGTCAGCAAGCCTTTGAAAGTATCCAACCGCAAAATCCCAGCCTCTCCCAAAGCAACATTAGATGTTGTACTACAGCCACAAAGTCACAGCTTTACAGACACATCTGAAGCATTACATTTTATACATTTTTTATACATTTTATTTCAGGTAAAACATTAAACAACATTTACAGAAGGACATTACATCTTCCATAATAACATTACATACAGGTCGTAACAAATAATGCAACAGCTATTCTACTGTATACTATATTGTTTCACTCGGTGAAGTGACTGACGACACTTCTGTTTTCTAAACCACTTGTGAAAGAACATAATGTGTTTTCAGTGCAGCATCCAAAAAAGAGAGAATAAAATGTGAGAGAAGCTTTGTTGAAAAAAGTTGCAAACACAGATTCATTGTTGAGCACAGCGAGGATGCACGATGGATCCAACCTATATGTTTTTCCTTCCAATACCACTTTAATAAAGAATGCCAAAAATAGATGCCTTGTATTTACCTTATATATTTATTCATATATATCTCTTTAAGGGGACCTTTGCAACCCTGTATACGAACATAGTGGAAGCATCACTATTTCAACACCTTATTGATTTCCCCCTTTGACATTTCTATTGAGATTATTTCTCATTTCCCTTGTCACAGTGCTAAATGTGCAATTCCACCAAGTATTTCCTTCACTGGACTTTATTGAAATCTATGAGAACATTCAAGCTTGAACAGAGTGCCTTCAGAAACTCTGCCCACACAGGACTCAAAAATATAAGTTTTTGTACTGCGGGCTAACAAAGCTCCACAGAAGTAAGAGTGTTTAGGGGCAAACAAAGCGATGTGTGCCACGCCGAAAGTATGCACAAGGAGAAACATGCCAAAAATAATTATTCAGCTGCTAATACTGCCTGCAATCCCTTAAAGCCACATGAGGCTGGGCAATCTTCGCACAGCTCGATGGTATTAACCCTCTTCTGTCACGCCGCTTTACTGGCATTACCCACCCCGTCTCCTCCCCTTTTTTTCCTGCCGCACAATCACAGCCTGGGGATGACACTGAAAAGCCGCGAGATAACTTCAAGTACAGCATTTCTATGAGCTCTCCTCAATCTGTGGTAAAGGTTTGAAACAAGGGACGAAATTTATATTTGTAAGGACTGGTTTGCTTTGCATCAGGCAAAGAAAGGTTACATATACTGTATATACAGTATAAGCACTCATATGTTTATCATTAACGGCAAAGCAAGTGCATAAACGTAACCATACAGGCTGGAATGTAGGGCAAAAAGATTTTTCTTTAAAGTGCATTTTCAAAATGCTATTGGAGAGTCTAACCAATGACCATTTATTTTGCCTCTATGGTTGAAGAAGCTGGACTGGAACACAGTCATGGTAAAATGCCAAAGCACGAAAACTCCAATTCCTCTCTACTTTAAAGCATAGGTTCAGATATTTTCACGTCTATCTCAACTAGATTTGTTTTTCGATACCAATGCTAGTATCAGATACAGCCTAAAGTTAATGCATCAATCAGACATCACGTTATCATATCATTTATCAGTTCCTTTACACTGTACGGGAACAACAACAACATGTGTTCCTCGCTACCCCGATCCGTACATCCTGCATGATTGGCAAGTGCAACTCTCAACAGAGATGAGAAGAAAGAAGTGTTCCATTACTAGCTCCAGATAGATCGCTGCACCCAAAATTAAGCCAGAACTAGCAAAACGTCCCCACCAGTAAAGCGGCAATGTGTTTTTAAAGCACTGGTATCACATCGGTACTCAGTATCGGCCGATACACAAGTTCATGTATGGAAATCAGTATTGGGAAGGAAAAAATGGTATCGGAACATCTCTAATCTTAACTCGAGTGTCTACAGTGTCAAAGATAAGGGAACAGATCCACAGTCTATATTCTGTGCAAAATATATTCCAAAATTCAGCCAATATTAATATTCAGCAGTCTAAAGCCAAGTTTCCATCCAAATGTAACACAAATGCAACCAACTTTCCAGAAAATCGCCATAAGAAAATGCAAATTATATGCGTTTCCATCCACTACTGTTATGCAAATATTAGGGGTTGGGACTCATCGAGGTAAACAATTGGTTGAGCTAATTCCCCAATCTGGTGCTATTAATGTCTGCCGCCATTATTCATCTCTTCAGTAGGAGCGGAAGCTTGATTGATGTTTAAGTCACCTGCCTCGTGTTCCATCTGATTTATTCACTAAGTGTGTTTGTTTTTGGTCTATGCAACTATTCCATCTCTGCGAAGCGTGGAAACCTTTTTTGCACAATTTGTACTTTCTCAGGTGTTTTTATGAGCAAATTGATAAAAAAAAGAAAACACACAACATATTATGTTTTTATGGTTAGAAAACCGTAATTTTACACCTGCAGCTCCAGAGCCACCTGGTCGTATCATCCCAGCCACCTGACAAATGTTAGTTCAATATTGCTCATCAATGAAGCTCTGGTCCATTAGCTCTTTAGAAAAATATCGGTTTGTAAATTTACACACAATTGCTTGGCTGGAGATACCCACTCGATTTGGATAACTCAGACTGCCACTGAAGAATATTACCTACAGCTGAACTTTGGAATGTATTTTGGTTGTGTAAAAATATCCCTTCCTGGCCGGCATGATTACATTTCATGAGTGATGTATTACGATAGACATGAAAAATTGCCATCTTTGAATGCGACAGACTGCAAAGCAAACACCAGCTGGTGGGGGCATGGAGGGGCTGCAGGGTTATGCTATATTGTGGCAGATAGGTGCAGGAAGGTTACCTTAGAAGGCAAGACATCTATATAATGAATGTGTGTGTGTGTGAGTGTGTGTGTGTGTGTGCGTGTGTGTGTTTGATAGGTCGTGGAGCGACATGATAAGTAACAACAGTTTCCAATTCTCCATGACACCACATTTGCGGCCTCATCTCTTCGGCTTATCAACAGTTCAGGGCCGATATTATTGTTTCAGTCAATTTCAAACTGATTGATAAAAAGGAAGCCATTGTATTGATAGTACTTCACAATTATCACCATACATCTAAGCTTATTTTCACACAAAACATCAAAAGAAAGAGTAAAAACGTCTTTGCAGATGATACTACTTTATACATTTGACCTTCGTCATAAGAAGTTGCAAAACATTTAGAACGTGTAGGATGTTGAGGGGCACACATATAGGGGAAGTCTCGCCATAAGAGCATGTGTCGGTGGTGAAGGGACACCACCTACAGTACACACACTGCACATACACTACCACTCACTGAAAAGCACTCATCCCTATACTTTTTTGATTAGTCAGATACGAAAAGCTCCAGATCAATCTTAACATTTGACTCATGAGCTTAACAAAAATTTGAAGTTATTGACATAGATCATCTGTTTTTAATAAAATATTGCAGATCTTTTGATGGTTATTAGATAAAGTGAAGGGGAGGATTGTCGTGGGCTGGATCAAACAATAGGCCACTCAACCTATTGCCTTGGTGTTTTATCGTTTGTACATTAGCTCATTTGCATGGATGGAAGCCCCAATGAGCATTGGCATGGGCTATTGCCCATGTTTAATATACTCACACACACAATAGCACTTACACGCCTCTCTATCAGACACGCACACACTTACAGCTGTTGTCAATTACGGTACGGCACACTGGTTGGTGCTGTCCCTGTTGTTTTATGTGTGCACCTTCAGCATCTCCAGCAGAGATCATTTATGTTTGAAAGACTTTTCAGTTGCAACACAAAACTCATCTCAGCCAGTTCAAGTCAATCATGGAGGTCCATTGGAAAAATGTAAAAGATATTTAACATTTTTTCATCACCAGGGTCATAGGGTAGTTTTGCCAGACATTAAATGTGATGTTTGCAAATTGAATTCAAACATTATTTGGAAGTGGTTTGAAATCTGTCTCCTATAGATTTGTCTCGGTTTGGATGCTCAAATAGAATTTCAATGTCTTTTGAGACACTCGCAACGCGACATACGACGATTTCAAGTCCAGAGTGACAGAAGCACTGAACAGAATCCATGCTGCTATAAGCAGAGCGCTATGGAGAACAACATGGAGGACAATAACAGTCCATTGACCGAAATATATTGCCATGACTGCAGCGTGGAAAATCGCAACGTATACCATTTTTCTATGGGAAAGTTCCACTGTTTGGCCACTATGTCATATTAGCTTCATAACCCAACGCTCGTCCTGGGATAGATAGGTTTGTGATGTCTGCACACATGAATCTGATCTGATCACTTTTTCTTCAGGGAAAGTATCTAAATCGCCCAGCAGAAAGGCAAATAACGAGAAATATCTGCCAAAGAACAAGATGTTCTTTGTTTTTCAACTACTAACCTCTATTTACTACTTATTTACCTACTTGAGGCTTTAGTGTTTCAATCATATTTGTTGATGGTTGTAGTTACCTGAAAATTAGCACAATTAGTCAGCTAACAAGATCAAACATTATCACAAATTAAAAAAATGTAAAACAACATCAGGACCTCTAATATGGCTGCCAGAGGATGTGTTGCACCACCTGAAAGCCCTCCATTATTATTATTAGGGTTCTATAAATTAGAGTTAAACCTGGTAAGAAAGTTGAAATGGAACTCTTAAGGATCATTCTTTTTTAACCGACTGCATTGTTTTTGATTTATAGCTTTACTTGTATGCATGTCTCCTCTTATGTGTTTGTTGTGTCTTGGCGCGAGAAGATGAAGCGATATTAAAATTGTCCATTATATAGTTTCTTGATGAGTATATCATACATACAAATATACATTCTTAAATAGGAGGTTAGTTACAAACACAAAACACATGTACCAATAGTAAAGTCCTTTTGTTTATACTGTGATAACAACATATGAGTTATTGGAACCTTATAAAAACTAAACAAAATTAGATTTGCAAATGATAGCCTGAAATCTTAGGTACCGTTCATAATGCACACATGCATTCATATCTATACCCAGTGCTAAATCTCTTTCTCATGCACACGGCACACACGCACACACATACACCCACGCTCACACATATTGTGAAGGTAATAAATAAAGAGAACTGGGGCTCTTCTGGATCCTCTATCGCTTGTCTTCATCTTTTTTCTTTTTTACAACAGCCACCTGAGACAGAAAAAGAGACAGAACACACAATCTGTAGAAACTGGCATTGTAGAAAAAAAACACGAAAGCAATCACATCCCACATTTCATATGTTTTCTTGCAGATTGAAATCAACAGTAATGAGCATATGGGCTCAAGTTTATTAGATGTGCTGTCATTGTGTGAAGGTACTACAATGAGTGAGTAATCAAATATCTCTTGTGAAGACATTTTCAGGTTTCATGAGTCACAAAAACATTTTATGACGTATTGAAACTAGGCGTATCCCCAACTGAGAATTTACAAAGTTGAATCTGATTGGTCAAGCCATCGGCTCTATAATCCACCCCCGTTTAAGTTTTATTTATCTCTAGAAAAATAGTAAGAGTACTTTCGATACTAAATAAATTTAACAAAAGGGAATCAACGTTCAGCGACAGAAAAAGAGACAAAGAATTCTAAAGTAGTAGTCGTGATAGTGCTACGTTTTTATGTGAGTGCTCTGATTAATAAATGTATTGTTTGCTTTTGAAACAGTACCCTTATATTGCTATTATTTAGTCTTGCTGAGGATATTGCCAAGATAATGGTCAGCAGTTGTATAGTGCAAGGTAGTCTATAAGTTATTTTAAAATTTGTATCAATAGTATTATTAATAGGCTGGTGTTTTCACCAAAATAGGGTTCATATCATGATTTATTGGGAGAGACCAAGCTATTTCATATAAAATTGGACATTAAGCATCCCCATATGATTGTTTCATAATCAAATTTTTTTGCAACTGTGGGATTATAATTAGAGTCAGGTTCCTTAGAAGGAATCATTGTCACCCCTACATTAAAGAATTCTACTGGCAGTTAAGGAGTTCTCCAGATTTCTGATGGTATGACTCAAGACTGGTCCCTTCTCAAGACAATTGTTTATTTGACTGGTTTGAGGCTACTGGTCTTGGGTTGCAACCAAGTCCAGTTAAACCAATAGTTCAACATTTAACAAATGTGCTTATTTGCTTTCTTTCTGGATGTTAGATATGAAGACTGACATCAATCTAATGTCATTGCACGTATGGAGCTGGAGTCAGTACATGATTAGCCTGGCTTAGCACAAAGACTGAAAGGTGGGATAAATAGCTCGCCAGTCTGTAACCAATGTGAAAACAAATACAGCTACCAATACCTCTAAAGCTCATTAATTAATATGCACATAAAAGGAAATGTATAAATAAAAATGTGTCTGTGTGACTCTCACATAGGGGTGTGTCTACAGCACCTGTCTGTGTGACTCTCACAGAGGGGGCGTGTCTGCAGCACCTGTCTGTGTGACTCTCACAGAGGGGGCGTGTCTGCAGCACCTGTCTGTGTGACTCTCACAGAGGGGGCGTGTCTGCAGCACCTGTCTGTGTGACTCTCACAGAGGGGGCATGTCTACAGGAGTATGAATCTCCACTTGGGCGTGATAAAGTGAGCGGTCACAGTCACGTAGCTCTCCGTTGCCCTGGACACAAGACTTGGGTGGTGGCGCTTCAAACTGTACTGCCGTTGTCGTGTGTCTTTCTATTTAAACAACGCCTATACCGTAACGCTTTTGTCCACCACCCTTGTCCGTCATTATAAGTTACAGGGAAGCCTAAATGCTCCCAAACTCGCAACTTAAATGACGCCGGGAGCTTCTGAAGTTCCTCCGCTCGCCATGACTTTCACCGTTAAATGCTTCTAACATGCTCCGTTCACGTGAACACACTACTGCTTTATATCTGTTCACTCTGCATTGATATTCGAGGACTTGTTACTTGAAAAGGAAAAGCTGCCGTAAAACTTAATTACACACTATGATGATTAAACTGTAAAAAAATGAAAAAAAACTAAATGAATCCGCGGTTCACAAGTGATCCGAACCGTGAGGTGTGATCCGATCCGTGATCCATTACACCACTAGTCAACCATGAAGAGGGGAAGGGAGTAACACTGAGGAGATGAAGACAAAGACAGAATGGAAGATTGAATGGGGTGATGAGGAAGATGACCAATAGGGAGTAGAGGGTGAAGAGGAGAAGCTGAGAGTGAAAGACAAAAGGGAAAGACTAGAGTATGCTGTAAGAGCCACATTCAATTTGCTGTAAAATATTTACTTGTATTTACATGTTTTACTCTAATCAGATCTGTTTCTACTTTGAATGTTACAAGGATGTTGTTATCATTTGTTGTGGTAAGAAATACACGTAAGTGACAGACTGCCGTCACTTTAAGGACACATTGCGACAGTTAGTGACGGTTGTTAGTATCTGGAGCAGAGTGGAGCCGCACAGTTTTCCGACCGTGTCATATGGAACGTGCTATATGGATTATGTTGTGTAACAATTTGTGGATTAACCTGTGGATCTTTAAAGTGTGTTGAGGTAATCGGCGGTACTTTTAGGGAGAAAGGAAGTCATTTCACCAATTTGTACGAGAGAAATTGGATCAATAAAACACGTCTTGCTTTCACCTACGAGTGGTGTCGGTGTGAGCTATGTGCATAGGACCAGTAGAGTAGAGGATAGGGAGGTGGAGAGAGTACAAGTACAAGATGAGGAGGAGAGGAAGAAGGGGCAGAGAAAGAAGATGTGAATGGTTGAAGCGTGCATCCTCATGCATCCTCATTTGGTCCATAATCAGAAAGATGAGCAAATGACCAATGGAGCCATACAAGTTTCATTTATATGTACTCATTTATATATCACTTGTGACAAATTATACAAGTGACATTTCCATAAGGGCTTTGAAAGGAATTTAAAAGTCGTTGATGTCCTGCAGAAGCTGACTGTGGCTCAGTGGTTTAGAGTGTTTTAACCACAAGGTTGGAGGTTCAATCCTCTTCCTCTATCGTTCGTATATCCAAATATCCTTGATTGAGACACTGAACCAAGGTACTTCATAACAGCCCACTGCATCCCAATGCTAAGAATGGGTTAAATGCAGCGGTTGCATTTCATGTACCTTTGTGATGGATATGATAAATTTAAGACTTCTTAAAGAACATTGTGTGGTCTGTAGTTGCGTTTCCTCCTGTTCTTCCTAGTTGCAAAAGGACAGGACTAACTAAAGGTCAATAGCTTGTTGTGTGACAACATTTAAAAGCCACAGCTCATCTGTCAAAGTCAAGGTCACTGAGCACAGTACCTCTGTGTTAGGAGATGCAGTGTCATCACACCAGTGCTGCTGAGTGAGACACCAACAGACTTAATAAACTGATTAAGAAGGCCGGCTCCATCATTGGCTGCAAACAAGACTATCTGGAAGAGGTGGTGGAGAGGAGGACACTGAAGAAACTATTATCCATATTGGATAACCCGGACCACCCTCTCCACCACCTACTGCAGGGACAGCGGAGCACTTTCTCCAATAGACTGATTCAGCTCCGCTGTCACAAGGACCGATACAGGAAAACATTCCTGCCCTCTGCTATTAGACTCTATAATAAATCACCTCTGGCCAAATCAAACACAAGACTATAACAATGCTACACTGTTGTTGCTGCTGCTGGTGATCTTGTGCACTACTGTTTTGTTTATTTTTTCATACTTAGTTAATTTAATACGATTCTACTTAGTGTATATACTGTGCATTTTTATTACTTTATCTTCTTAAATCTAATAGGTCCTGCTCGGTTTTTTTATTTTATTACATTGTATATATTGTGCATTTTCCACACTTAATATTTTTATTTTATTGTGTAACCCTGTTTGCTGCTGCCACAGACAAATTTCCCCTTGGGGATGAATAAAGTACTATTCTATTCTTTCTATTCTTCTACACTTCACTTCACTGTCCAACACATTCTCATCAAATACGGCAGCTTGGTCAGTGGCACAAAGCTTCAAACTACGAACCGCTACGTACCGCTCTAGCATCAGTTTTGGACATGTTTGTGTGTCAATTACACGTAGAGTGTCTTTTCAAAATAAACTTCTGTCTTCACAGGACGTTAGGTTTAGTCAATAAAACAACTTAGTTAGGTTTAGGAAAAGATACGATTGATTCATTGGACCAACGAGTGACAAAACGTTTACTTTTCATTTTACACGGGACACGAAGTCTCCTGCTGGAAAGTCCTGAGTTTGTCTGATCCGTCCACCTCCGGTCCCACCCAAGGACTACCTTGCTCTTTACACTACGTCAGTTGCTCTGCACAGAGTGCCGCTGTTGTGTGCGTTGCATAAACGCGCTAAACTTGCGTCACTGCCAGGCGCAGAAGAGCACTGACCAAGCTGTGTTATTTGACACGTCATACACTCTTTAAGCCAACAAGGGATTCATTGTTTTAAAGCGATCTGATGTACTAAGAACAGATGTAGACTTCCGCTCTCTTGGGATCAAAGAGCACCAAGTAGGTGTGCGTGTGTGTGTGTGTGTGTGTGTGTCAGGGGGTTCCACTTGGGAAGCAGATGGAGCTGGTGGGTGGGTTTTCTGTGGAGGATTTAGCAGGCGTGGCCAGCTGCTGGCTGTCCTTTAATAGAGATCCTCTCACCCTCCCCCCCAAAAATGAAATCGTTAAACGACTCTGCATTGGGATAGACACACACAACAATAGAAAGAGTACCAAATGGGAAAGAGGGAAACGCAAAGAAAACATAAAGACTAACAGAGGCAGCAACTATGCTTATTTGCATTGTTGAAAACTGAAAGAGGTAGCAATCATTCTGGATGAAACCACTCTAAATATACACTCTTCTACAGTAGTGTCATAGAACCCCCTAGAAACACCACACTTTCTGCTCAAGATCTTCCTTGATTAAAACATGACTCTTTTATAGTCTGCCTTTGAAGCTTTCCAATTATCACTCCTAAGTCACAGACTAAATGCAGAAAAGACTTGTCTACCATTAATGGCACTAACACTACTCTTGCTGACTCTTAAAATATAAATAATAATAAAATATTCAATATTCAACAAAAAAAAATTAAAATCAAACTGGGCTTCTTGTATAGAAGTAGGATATCCATCTTATTTTTCAGTCAACTTCTTGTCTGTCCTTGATTATG